ATATATATATATGATTCATCCTTTTAGGTATTTATCTATAATTACAGTGATAGTTGCTTAGTATTATTTGATTATTTAGATATATGGGTAGATTTATCAATTTGATCCAACCCACAAGATTTTACCTTAATCCATGCGGGTCAAAAAATTTACAAGGCTAGAAAGTTCACAAAAAAAAAAACATTGAACCAAAATGACAACAAAAGCCTCATGCGTCAAGCTATGAGCCATTTTTTAAAGTAAAAATCTTATTTAAAAATGAAAATGAAAAAATATTAATTAAAATCATCTTTATAAAGACATTTACTCAATCTAAATCCTAACTCAATATAAGCAAAGTTAGCTCAAAATTAGGTCAAGTTAGACCAGATTGACACCATCTCAAGTTGGTTGACATGAGTCTAGGTCAAGTTGAGACAAAGTAGGTCCAAGTCAGACCAATGTGTTGAGCAAAATAGAGCATGAATTAGGACAAGTTAGGTCGAATTAAGTCCAGTTTGCCAAATTTAGTTTCAAGTAAGTAAGGTCAAGTTAAGATGACTTATGTTGGGTTAAGTTGAGTTGGACTAATGTTGACAAAGTCAAGTCACACCTAGGTCAAGAAAATTAGGTAAAGAAACAGTATGTGTGGGTTTGTCCCAGACCAAGATAGACAGGATTAGGTCAGACACAAGTTAAGTAGGTTGTTAGGATCATGCCAAGTTAGAGTGGATCCAACTAACCAAAATTGATACGGTTCTGCATCATGTCGAGTTGAATTGTAAGACCATAAATTATAATAATTATGAAAATAAATAAAGTTAAATAAATGTTTTAAATAAAAGATAAGTGGGTGTAATAGTTGTTTAATTAAAAAGATAATAGATATTGTTATATATTAATAAGTGATAACTAAATATTAAAAAAAATATTTAAAAATTAATTAGGAGATATATAATAATTTATTAAATATCTATTTTATTAAAAAGATTATGGAAGGAGATATAATGGTTTATTAATTTAAAATATTTATTGTATTTAAAATATTTTCTAGAAAATAAAAGATTTGGTGTGTGATAATTATTTCTTAAACATATTTATTAAAAATATATAAGATTAATTATGTGTGTGATTATGTTTATCTTCTAGAGATTTAAAAATATTTTATAAACAATAAAATAAGTGATAAAGATTATGGGAGATATATCTTGAATGATAGTTTTTATTTTTAAGAATGATATAAATATGAGAAGAGTAGGTGAAGGTTATGGTTTTTTTAGAGAATATGTTGTTGGTTATACTTAAAAGAGAAGAACAAGAGATAACTATGAAGTTAAATAAGGAACATGATGAGAATCTACTTCATGAAAGTTGAAGTTGATTTCATGGATATGATTCGTGCAAAAGCCTAAAATAATGAATGAGAATATGTTTAGAGAGAGTGATTTGGGTGTGATTCTTGAAGGAGGTTGGGCTAATCCTTGAGGAAAAGATCTAGGATAAGTCAAGAAGACAAGTTATCCTTTGAACTCAGAAAAAGAAGAACTGCAAATTTGATAGAATTTCTCTATATTATTTTCTAGTTGTTCTTTACCATGCTTGAGCACTCCTATTTATATATTTGAGGAGTTGACTCAAGTCTCCACAAAAAGAAAAAAGATACAAAGAATCTAAAACTGAAAAGCTTTATAACTTTCTTAGTGATTAGTCAATTGTCAAATGCGTATTCACCTTTCTTTGCTTCATGTGCAAGCTAGTGGATGTTTTAACCCATAAATAATGTTCTAAGATTACTGGAGGCCCAATCTTTCCAAAAAAACACCTTAGTTTGTATGGTCACTCAAGAATCAAGTTAAAAAGCCAAAACTACATGACTACATAACACACTCTGATTGAATCAATTATGGTACTTATATAATTGATTCAATTAGAGATGTTGTACTTCTTTGCTGAACATGCTCTATTTTAATTGATTTTTTTTTATCTTTTTAATCGATTAATCTATAGACTTTTATACTAAAAATGAGCAAAATACACCGTCCTAAATAAACATCTGTTTGGCTTAAATGCAAGGCCTAAAGAAAAGACTTGTTTACAAATAAAGGACTAATCCTATACAAAAATATATTACTCCTAATCACATATTCACAAACAAAGAAAAATGCTTAGGTCTTGCCACTAGCTCATGTTGCAACACCCTAGATAGGTTTGCACGAGCACAAGTAAAAATGTGGTGAGAAGCTTTTGGAATGTTACATACTAGAACTAAGTTAGGGAATTTAATTTTTCATGTGATTGTGTGATGAGTATCAATATGTATTGTCGTATTTTGTGTTAATGATCAGATTGCTCATAGACATCTAAGTAAGTATGATTGTTATGGTTTGGATAGGTCTACGATTTAGACAAGTTCCCGTGACTACTATGGTTTGGGAAGGTCCCCATGATTGCTATGGTTTGAGTAGGTCCTCATGACTGTTATGGTTTGGGTAGGTCCCCATGATTGCTACGGTTGGACAACTCCCCATATCTGTTACAAGTTAGGCAAGTCCCCATGATTGTTATGAGTTAGAGAAATCTTCATGACTACTACTAAATGATAGGTTGTGATATATGTGATATTGATATTTCTTTAATTATAATTATTGTTATATTAATTTACCCTTATGTTTCTGGTTATGGTTTCCACTTGCGATGATTGTGTATGTTGTTTATGAGTAGATGATGAAGCAAGGTTGGATGCATAGCAAGGATAAATGTGGAGAGTGGGATGAGTGTCGTCTAACAATTTATAGTTTATAATTTTTTTTATTCATGTTACTCAATATTATGTAAAGACACTTAATTATTGTTTTCTCCATTTTAATAAAGGTCTTAAGGTTATTTATTTTAAGTATTTTTACAATAAGATTTTGGAAGTGATTATTGTATACTTAAGCATTAGATAACTCAATTTTTTTAAAACAAAATATTATTTTCGAAAATCAAGTTTTTGAGAGGATTTATTAGAAATCATTGGTTCTTTATAACTAAATGACTTTAAAAGTGTTAAGAAAATTAGGGATGTTATAAAGATCACACTGCACAAAGTTAAGTTAGATTCATGTTAGACCAAATCAAATTGGGTCCATGTCAAGCCAGTCAAATTAAGGCCACAAATGGTCGAGTAGACCTCGAGCTAAGGCAAGTCGAATATGCACCTTAAACTGAGTTGAGTAAGACCCAATCAAGTTGAGTCAAGTCAAGTTTGACCTATGCTAAGTCCAATCAAGTTGGACCTATGTTAGGTCCAATCAAATTGGTTCCACATTAGGCTAAGTATAGTTAAACATACATTGCATTAAGTCAAGTTAGGTCCACATTGACCCTCTCCAAACTAGTTCAAGTCGAGTTCACATGGATTGAGTCATTTTGTATCCACCTTGGGTCGAGGTATGCCCACCTTAAGCCAAGTTAAGTAAACTTACCTATTGCCAAGTTATTTTGATCCACCTTTGATTAAGTCGAGTTAAAGGCAACCTCTACCAAATTTCAGTTTGACTCAACTTGAATTGAGTCGAGTCAGTCTCACCTTAGAATGAGTCGAGTCCGACCACCTTGGCCTAGTCAAGTTTGACTTACATCAAATTGTACAAATTGATATTCATGTTAGTTCAAGTAAAGTCATATCATATAAAGTGAGTCAAATCAAGTTTATATTAAGTCGAGACAAGTTAAGCAACAACTAAATCAAATTCAAATTATTTATATTAATTCAAACTGAGATAAACTAACTATAATTAATATAAAATATTTGAAAATTAATTCACTAAAAAAAGTCATGTTATTATAAAAAATATTAAAAATTAATTAAAATATTGTGACGAAGACTTACGTATTCTTAACTCACTTTTAAGTAGAAAACAAAAAACACTTTTCAACCCACTCATTCAACAAAAAATGTAAGAAAAATATTTATAAGCACATAGAGTTTGACCCATGGTTAGATTTACATAATTCCAAAATAATTTATGCATATAATTGCTATCTCATTCTGTTCACCTATTGTTGTAGTGAGGACTGTTTCCTATTGTTGACACAGTAACATACAAAACCACAGTTCCAAAAAAGCACCATACAGCCCTCACATTCCCTCCATTTCATATTTATCTATTTTTCTTATAATCCAACTATTCATGTCCCAACACATGTCCTTTTCTATCTCTTATTGCCTACAATCTTCACAATTTTAACTAATTTTATTTGGTGAATGCAGTTATCATACGTTATTTGATCTTATCATTATAAATGATATATGGTACTATATATGTTTTTAATTTTTTATATTATCTAATTCTTATTATGATAAGGTAATAAATGCCTGACATGTATTTTTAATACTTATTATATAGCAATATCTGTACCAATATAATAACAATATCTCATTATTGTAAAGATGAGGAACCTCTCTATGTTCTCCCTAAATATTTTGTTTTGTTATTTAAATAGGACCATAAATAATTGTACACATACGACACTCTTGTAATAATATTACATTCTACAAAATTAAAATAATATAATTTTTTTATTTTTAATTTTGAATTTATTTTTCTTCCTTAATTCTATAATGATGACGTAATCCTAATCGCAATGTGAAAAGGAGAACTCTGATAACCCATGCTCGTTTCGACACTGACTAATTCATATTTAAATGTAAAGTATATAAATTAAAATTATAACCATTAACATAATACCTTTTTAAATAAATTTCAAAAGGTAAGAAATCATTTCATTTAATTTTTTTTATCAAAGTACACGTTTAGGAACAAGTTTAAAAAGGCGGTAAAATTTATAAAAAAAATTGACTAATTTAATTCCCAAAATAAATTAATCTAAATATAATACGTATTACTGAATACTTATTCTTGGAATGTGTGTAAATATATTAAAAACGAATTTATTAGTTAAAAACACTGCTAGTCTACTTTTAAAAATTAAGCCTTTTGTTATATATTAAAATTTGTTCGGTAAGATTGAGAAAAAGAAATCAACAAATTAATCAATTGTATTCCTCCTAACTCAAGTCATTACCTTTCGCTCTGGCGGTTTAATTTGCAACCAAACCGGTTCTCGCAGGAAATGGACCGAACCGCCGCCATAATCTCCGATCAGGTCAACGTTGACGGAACTGTGACGCAGTTATCCCTGCTTGCCGATGGGAAGCTGTGGTGGCCGGATGGAGGTAAACGGAATTTGACCATCGAAAAAGAGGTTATCGGGTTCGCCACCGATGGTTTGAACATTAGGCTGAAAACCGTGGTGGAGGGAGCAGATGGATGCTGTGGTTGCGGGAGCAGGGGAAAAGTGGTCCGAAACGACGTCGTGTTTCGGCCATCGTCGGAGGAATCGCACGGGCTCTGGTGCCGCAAGCTTAAAGAATTCATCGATTCCCTGGGTAACTAATTCGAAGCTTTTTTGGAGCTTATGTGATTAATTTTGTGCTGCGGATTCTGATTTTTATTGGAACAGGACGCCCCAAGAGGCTCTTTGTTTTTGTTAATCCTTTCGGGGGAAGGAAATTTGCTGCCAATATTTTTCGAGATCATGTTAAACCTCTTTTGGAAGACGCACAAGTCCATCTTACTGTTCAAGGTTTTGATCTTTTCCTTAGGTTTTCTTTCTTTTACCATTATTGTTATTGTAAAAAATGTGTGATTGATATTAACAATCTATAAAGACCAATCAAACATTAATATTCCTAAATATTAAAAGAGCCAAAGATTCAAAGTATATATATATATATATACACACACACAAATATCTATCTCCACTCAAGGACGTGTAATAGTTATATAGAGTGTGAAAACAAAATGTGGGATATTGGTGGAGATAAATAGGATGTACTTGAAAGGGTAAGAATCTTGAAGTTTCTAAGCTTCTAGTGCTGACTTGATTTGGAGTCAGTTCTTTTGAGAGACGATGAAGAAGAGAAGGAACTATAATGACATTGATACTTATTCAAGGATTTAATTTCATTTTAAATTATAAATAGTGTTCATTTTTTTTTTCATCATTTATAAAATTTAATTATATTTATATTGATTATATTGACGCCCTATCCTAAGTTTATGGAAATGTAGTATTCATGCACTATACGTAAAAACTAAAATATAAAAATTTGTTGTAGGTATAAAATCCAAATAAATAGTAAATGTTATTATAATAATTATTATTAGTTTAATGTTTATAAGTGTACAGATTTTTTTACGGTGAATAATAAAAATTACTTTTTTAAAATACTATTATTAAAGGTTAAATATTTTATTATTAATGCATTCTATCATAGTCTATAACATAATAAAAAAATTATAGTACTATCTATAAGTTGGAATTATTCTTTTTGTTATTATATATCAGAAACCAAGCATCAGCTCCATGCAAAGCAAGTTGTTCAGTCACTTGATTTTTCCAAATACGATGGAATAGTTTGTGTCAGTGGAGATGGGATTTTGGTTGAGGTTAGTTCACTGAAATTATTGTTGTTAATTGGTTACAGTTCGTACCAAGTGCTACCATTATGATTGTGAAATTGGCTGTGTGAACTAATGATTGTTTGAGTTTCTTTTGTACACATGGTTGCCTATGTTTCTATTTAATTATCTTACTAACGTCACGCATTTTTAGTAGGTTGTAAATGGACTGCTTCAGAGGGAGGACTGGGACACTGCAATAAAGATACCCCTTGGAGTAGTTCCTGCAGGTTTTGTTCCTTTTTCTTCAATGAATTTAGTCAATAAATTTTGTTATGTTAACCTTCCAATTATCTCCTCTGTGATGTACGTTCGTATAAAATGAATGAAGGTACGGGGAATGGCATGGCAAAGTCTCTTCTCGATTCAGTGGGTGATCCCTGTACAATAACCAATTCTGTTCTTGCCATTATAAGAGGTTTCGAACTTGTGACAATTGTGACCATATATATGATTTCTTTTTACTGTGTTGATATAAATATTAACTTGGCATTAAATGCTGTCAGGCCATAAGCAATCACTTGATGTGGCCACCATCACACAAGGGGAAACCAGATTTTTCAGTGTGTTGATGCTTGCATGGGGTAACTATAAATTAACGTCACCATATATTGGATTTTGAAAAAGAGGTGGTTGTGAGGAAGCATGTGGTTGTGGCCATGTTATTTGATGTAACATTTGATAATTTTATTTCAGGTCTGGTGGCTGACATTGATATCGAGTCTGAAAAGTATAGGTGGATGGGAAGTGCACGAATAGATTTTTATGTAAGTAAGCCATAATAAGTAGGAAGACATGTTTGTTTATGATGCTTTCTTTAGTTGCTGAGTCTTTTTATATGAATTATTGTTGCATGAGTTTTCTTATACTTTGGTTGAAGGCAAGAACATAAATCAAAAAGCCGTTAATCATCAAAGTATTGATCACCTACAAAGTTTACAAAAAAGGTAATCGTGTTTATGTAGAAGCCAAAGTACCAAATTTAAGAGTCTCTCGATTTCTTGCGCCAGAATTATGTGTACCTAGTAGTGACCCACACTTCAGTGCCAGTCTAGTTTGGTGATATGTTCTCGTTGTTATACAGTAATTTCCTTGACTTAAAAGGATTGAGGTTATTTTTACTTTGTTTGCATTACCTATTGTTGTAGGCTCTCACTCGAATCTTCCATTTGAGGCATTATGAAGGATGTCTTTATTTTGTGCCTGCACCTGGATTTGAAGCTTACGGGGAGACCATAAGTTACCCTGGCAGTTCTGCCAGCAAACGCATAATTAGTGATCAAATGGATGGGGAACCAGGGAAGTTAAAAAGGCTAGGCTATCAGGGACCTGAAATTGACTTGGAGAATCTGAGTTGGAGGGTCTTAAATGGACCATTTATTTCTGTCTGGCTTCACAATGTGCCTTGGGGTGCTGAAAATACCAAGGCTGCACCAAATGCAGAGGTTGGTTGTATGCGTAAAAGTTCTTTTGTGTATCATTGCTCTCTCGTACTCTTTCACCTGTTGTGTGATGTCATAGCTAGAACTGATTCGTATTGCAACATTAAAAATAGAATTAGAAGATGAATCCATATAAATTAGTATCCGAACTGGTCCCATGGAGGCTAATATACAACTAAACGAGGAATGGCTATTGGTATATTTTGCTTCATTTTAATGACTATTAGACATCAATGTTCATTATAAGTATCATGCAGAATAGATCATAGAGACACTCCAATTGTTGACATCATTGACATAACTGCTAGCTGACACCACACCCGAAATTTTCTCCCTCTATTCTGTGACATCTTAACTATTTATTGCTGATAGTTGCCATGAACTTGACAAGTCTTTTGTTAATTTAATTTGGTAAATGCAGTTCTCAGATGGTTATCTGGACTTGATCATTATGAAGAATTGCCCCAAATTACCGTTGCTGTCATTGATGTCAGAAATGAATAATGGAGGTCATGTAAAATCGCCACATGTCATGTACCTAAAGGTGTGGACATCACTACTGTTATACTTTTCCTGCACTGATTTATTTGCACGACAAGAATTGTTACTTTCTATATCTTTTGAAACAAACCATAGGTGAAAGCTTTGGTCTTGGAACCTGGACCGCGCTTGGGGGACCAGGAGAAGGAAGGGATCATAGATGCAGATGGTGAGGTTCTGGCAAGGGGTAAAGGATCGTACCACTGTGAGCAGAAGGCTTTGATGGCCTATGATAAACTTCAAATAACAGTGGATCAAGGTTTAGCTACTCTTTTTACTCCTATCTAAAATCCTTCATCTTTACAACAAAAGTGAGAAACAGATAAAGAATGAATACTCTGGGTTTTAAGAATTTTGGACGAAGATTGATGTATACACCAAACCTTATTTTACACTTAGCTTTGTTTGCTTCCGAACCTCCTCTGTTACAAAGATGGAAAGCGAGGATGAGAGAAGATATCCCCTGCTTTTCTCGAGCTGATTGGCATGGAAAAGCCAAGATTAGAACAACTTCTTCAGCAATGAGAGAGAAAGAAGAAAAACAAAGAACAAAAGAGGTGGACAAAGATGTACCATTGCTAGAAAATGTGTTTTAAGGGTATTTGAATAATAAAATTAATAAATAATAAAAATAATATTAGAATAATAGGTAAAATTATTTTATATTTTACTCTTCTTCAACTCATTTAAACAGTTTTACTTTTTTATTTTAACTTTTTTCTTTATTCCATACTGTCCAAACAAAATATTAGTGGGAAGTATGTATATCATTAAATGTGATCTCTAACTGCTGTGGAAATGTTCGTTGTTCTATGATTTCTTCGGAAATGTTCAACAACCAATAATTTTTGTGATTAATTATATTTAGTCTTATTTAGTTTATTTGATTGAAAAGGATCAATCCGATTTGAATAATTACATTTAATTGAATTTTAATTATTAAGTTTAATTGGATTTTAATCATTAAGTTGAATTTCTAATTGCATAAATTATTTATTTGTTAAACATGATTTACAAATTGTACCTAAAATATAAACATCCAATTTTTTATACATTAATTAGTTAAGCCAACATAGAAGGACGCGCAAATATATTATTTAGAATTTCTTGTCATCGTAATTGACAGGCATCACTTCTTAATGTGTTAACCAATGTTCCTCACTAATATTAGACGAAATAGTAACAATTAATAACGTAGATCATTTTTATAATATATTTCTGTACATATTATGTTGATTTTATTCTTATTAACAACTACTTTTTATTTTCTTTTATTATCAGTAAAATATCACCTATAATAAATAGGAATTATCGTAAAGTTTTCTTATTTTGATTATAATGTTATAAAAGTTAATGTAATATTTATTTTTTATTTTTAATATAAATTATATTTTTCATTTTAATAATTGTCATAATATCTATTTTTTAATTTTATTTTTTGTTTTTATTTTTTATTATTTATTATCAGTAGATACACCTGCACTTATAACATGCATGAATAACAAAGACCACAATTTACAACGAATAACACAAGTAAAAAACCCACTAATCCATTCAACAAGAGAGCCTACAAATCTAATATGAGCAAACAAGATAAAATTTAAATTATATTACTATCAATTAAAATAACTAGTTCAATTATTTTATGTTGATTTTAATAAGTTATTTATGTATTTATTATGTAAAGACTAGAAGTACAACAACAATAATGCTAATTAAAGATTAAAAATACCAGTCATGATTATTATCTACCATTATTTGTCAATAATGTACATGTATATATAAATACTAATTCAATACTTGTATATTACAAAGTATAAACATGTTTAACATACAACATTATTGTTTGATTGAAGATTGATTACACTGAACAGTTATTGTTAGAGAGAAATATTTCATCTTACTTATACAACATTACTTTATTTAATTTCTTTAGTTTCATTATGTTAGATATTTAACGTGAAAGATGAAAATGAATTGAGCCGCCATGGATTTTCCTTTCAAAAATAGAATGTGTGAAAGAGGGAAGACTGGCTGCTAAGTTCCATCTATTATAGGCTTCATCATTTCTAGCTTAAGCTCTGTTAGGTTCCAAACACAATTGCATAAACATCCAATTTGTTTTTGTTTTAGATAGTATCAAAATGGAACATCTAATTAAACAAACAATATATAATTTAAGCTCTAAAATCGATCTTCCTAAAAATAAAAAAGAGCAGAAGCTTTGAAAGGACACAAACCATCTTAAGATTCCATTCAAAAAAAGGCAAACACAAATCTTGTTTCGTCATCCATCATTAATTACCATAAGCCAATGAGACCAGCACCATAAAAACAAGAACAAGAAAAAAAACATCCTCAAAAATTAAACCTTGCGTTGGTGGCAATTACTCGCTTCTGTCAATTGTCACCTTCTGGGTTCTCTCCATTGTTGGTTTTGCAGAGGAGGATGAGTTCAGCACATGCTCCTCAAGATTTTGATCATAGCATGCAAGATATCCCACGTTAGAAAAAGAACAAAAAAAGGTTTTAGGTAGTTGGGGAAGAAAGAAGGAAGAAAAATGAACGACCTTTTCTCAAACTCGTTCAAGAAATACAGTGACCTGAAAGAGCAGGCATACCTGGATGATGTGGAGGCGGGGAAAGAAAGCGTGAACCTTGATAAGTTCTTCGAGGAAGTGGAGGAGGTGAAAGAGGACATGAGGAGTGTCGAGATGCTGTACAGAAGGCTGCAAGAGGCGAACGAAGAGAGCAAAACGGCGCACACGGCCAAGGCGATGAAGGAGGTTCGGGCGCGAATGGATAAGGACGTGGCGCTGGTGCTGAAGCGCGTGAAGGTGATAAAGGGGAAGCTGGAGGCGCTGGAGCGGTCGAACGCGGCCAACCGGAGCTTGCCGGGGTGCGGGCCGGGGTCGTCGGCGGACCGGACGAGGACGTCGGTGGTGAGCGGGTTGGGGAAGAAGCTGAAGGACATGATGGACGATTTCCAGGGGCTTCGGGCGCGCATACAGATGGAGTACAAGGAGACGGTGGAGAGGAGGTACTTCACGATCACGGGGGAGAAGGCGGAGGAGGAAACGATCGAGAATTTGATATCGAGTGGGGAGAGCGAGAGCTTTCTGCAGAGGGCGATTCAGGAGCAGGGGAGGGGTCAGATAATGGACACGATTTCGGAGATTCAGGAGCGGCACGACGCCGTTAAGGAGATTGAGAAGAACTTGATGGAACTGCACCAGGTTTTTCTGGACATGGCGGCGATGGTGGAGGCGCAGGGACAGCAGCTGAACAACATCGAGAGCCACGTGGCGCATGCGAGTTCGTTTGTGCGACGGGGCACCGAGCAGCTTCAGGATGCGAAAGAGATTCAGAAGAGTTCGAGGAAGTGGACCTGCTATGCCATCATTCTCGGCGCTATCCTCATTGTTTTGCTTCTCTTCCCTCTCCTCTCCTCGCTCTTGCCTCATCTCTTGATGAGGTGAACCACAACACCTCCATACAACACAACATGCTTTTTCTCCATTTACGATTCCAGTAGATTAGGAATCTACCTGCTATTCTTCTCATCTAATGTAAATATATAGCTTTGTTTCATTTCATTTCATTTCGCCTCTTTTCTATTCAAAACACTAAGTACACTTTCATGTCACAGGCTCAAAATGTGTTAACCCTTTTAAAAACATACCTGTTGGAGAATGAGAAAAAAAAAAAAACTCGTGTTTTTAATCTGCAGAAAATATGAATTCAGTATATTCTCTAATTTTACAAAATGGTCGTTTTATTTGTTTTACACCAGCTCCATTGTCATTTTCCCAAGCTAAGGATACGAGTGAATAACGTTCTACAGATTAGAAATAAGTTAGAACTTTGAGTGGTCTGAATAATTAATTAATGCTTAGAATTTGAAAGTGAAACTGAAATTCAGTCAATCTGAATTCCTCCTAAAAATGGATCTGTACTCAATATTCATGTTAGAAAGGATCAGACCTTAATTTTGCGACAAAGCCTGATGTCGTTCATGCTTCTCCTAGCAGCATTTCTACTTGCTGCAGCCATTTTCTTGCTACATAGATTCCAGACAGCAAACCTCATTGTAAGCATGGCTCCTAAGTCCTAAATGATTTCTTCTGCAGAATGCTACTTAGCTTCTCGTCCCTAACGTCAGTGTCCTTAAAATGTTATACGCAATGATAGTACAATTCCTTTAGGTACTAATACTACTAATTATTAGAATTTATTTTTAGGAGATAAATGAAAGGAAATTGCTTGTCACTGGCAGTACAAACAGTTTTTGGTCATAACAGAATAAATTGTTTTAGTATTAATTTAGTAACAGTCTTTTGTTGAAAATTGACTATTTATTTTGTAAGAATGGATTAAAGTAGTGTCAATTTTCGTACTCACAACCAAACAAGTGATCCAGTTAAATATCATACAGTTAAACTGTACTCTAACCATTAAATAACAGGTATACCAAATCTTTTTGACTTTCAATTTACCAAACAAATTCTAGGTAACTGTCTTTTTCCTTCTAATATTATAGTGTCCAAACTATCCCACTTTTTTCTTGAACTTCTGAACACCAGAAGTTCATAGATTGAGATGAAGTGCACCAATTTTAATCAATTTACCCAGTCTCATTCTAACATGCAGTGGATAATGGCTGTAATTTATGGCAGAGAACCATTTTTATACAGATAACCTTTGCACACGGGAATCACTTGTACCAGTGTCCACCACAGCGCACCCTCTTCATGCAATACTTGTCAATTAATTAATATGATCAAAGCAAAACTATAGCATCCCAATAAAAAATTTCCAAACAAAAATTATAGAGCACGACGCTAACGATTTTTTCAGTAATTTTGTGCATCTGAGCCTACTGGCATGCAGTGTGTTTTTTATAAGGAAAAAAAAGTTATTCAGTGAATACAAATAGGGAAGAAAGAAATAATATAACACGAAATAAAATGAAATGAAATAAAATAAAGTAGCAAGGTTTAAAGAAAAACAAGGCACAACATGAAAAGAGACAGAAAAAAAATAAAATTTCTAGTTAAACGACTTTTACAATGGACTCTGCATAATTTCTAGTGGTTTCTCACCCCAAATCATGAAAATGTGTCTTCCAAGCTGCATTCCTCCACATACTAGAGGAGAAATGAAAAGACACAGGTCTCTCCTTTTTTTATCCCCCATACGGAACACATCCAAACAACCTTTCTGATTTTCACCTATTAGTTCACGCTCTTCCCTGTTTCCTCGCATCTCCACCCAATAATTGCATAACTACTTATGATAAGCATAGTTCATGCACATCAAAAGCTATCAATCATGTCAATTTTTTGAAAGATATACCTCTGAATGATATAGATTAGGGGTAGTTCTGAAACACATCTATCGGTACAAAGACAAAGATAATACAGCTGTAAACTCAACAATCGAGTTTATGTGAGATTCCACCCCCGCTAGGAGGACATAGAAACTCAAATCAAACCCAAACAATCAACTGCAGGTAAGAAAACAAAAGCTGGAAACTAGTCCACAATATAAAATGAAACTTCAATGATCAGCACAAAGCCATCATTAGTAAATATCCAAGGAGCCAGCATTTAAAATGTATAAGCTGTAACCAAATAGAAAATTCATTTCCTCCAATCAACAAGATTAATTAGCAAAGCAAATACAAAAAAAAAACGAGGGAAATTCTGATTTAATGTACAAGCACGCTGGCCACTCAATCATGTACCAGCATTGGGTAGGGCTGCCATAAAGGAATTGTAAGAAGACTCAAGATCAAAGTGAAGCTGCCGCGCCTGTTGTTCTGTCAATTCATCAGCTGCACCCATCTTGGATAACCTTGCAATCCATTCTTTCATTTTGGTTTTACCCTCAAAATCGGGCGGCAGGATTGTCAACTTATTGAGTGAAGCATTAAGGTCCGAGAGCAATGGATGCACCTGATCCACAGCCACCATGTTAAGTTTCAAGGAATCCATTGATGTAATAAAATTCTGCACACACTCAGCAACAGCAGCAGCCGAAGTGGAAGCAGAGGCAGCCGCAGTCGCGCGATGCTCCACGGTAGCAGGCACACCAGACACCACAAGGCGGTTAAGTGCAGCCGGGCACTCCATCTTATAAGTGTCTGCAAACCGCTCAATGCTAGGCACAGTGTCTTTAAGGGTGGAAGCTAAGGTTTTGAAATGAGCAATGAGCTTCTGGCACTCCAACTCATATTCCTGGGGTGAGATTATGTCTCTAACATAGGCTTTCTCAAGCCTCTCGGTGGCCTTAATGATGGCATAAAGCTCGGCAAAGTTATCAAACATTTCTCTCTCGCGCTTGTCATTCCAGAGCTTAACCTCCATGGTACTCATGATTATGTGAACACGCTATATTCAAACCAATCACACAGTGGGGATGGAGGAAAATTGGAGAAGAGAACGGGACACGCGCAAAGAGAAGGGCCTTCTTCGCTGAAAGTAAACCCACAAAACCCAAAACATAGCATGTTAACTGCTGCTAAGATCACAACGCCACAAAGGGGATCTAACAACTAACACCATTATTTCATCACACCAAACATAAAAATGCATACAAAACAGTGACCAAAGTACTCACAGACCCATCAGAAGAAAAACAGTAAAAAACGAAAAATCTCAACTTTGTCTAAAATAAATCAAAACTAATCCAAGACAGTGAACTAATCTCAACTTTCTCTCAAATATACACTCTGGGTATCAGAAAACGTTTCTCCTAAAGCTGAAAAATCAAGGTAAAACGCGGTTTCAACGATAACAACAAAAAAATAAAACAATGGACGTTATAGGTTTCCGAAATTTCCCTTAAATTTCTCAGAAACCAAACATCAAGGGAGCATAAACACAAACGAAAACAAAGAAATCAGCAGACAGGCATGAAAAAAGGAAAGAAAACCCATGTAAAAGTTCATCACAAAAAACCCCAAATCAAAAGAAATTGCAAAGGCGAAAAGCAATAATCAAGACAGACAGAGACAAAGAAAGAGCAAGAGAGAGAAAGAGAAAGAGAGAGAAGGGCTTACAAGAAGCAGAAGACGTTATGGAATGGTTGGGAGAGAGGTGGCTTCCATATGATTAAGAAGGGAACGGATTGCATGAAATAAATCGGGTGCGGTACGGTCCACGGGGAAAGAGAAAGGGGTTGCGTGTGGGTTCCCACATATTATTATTGCTGCACGCCACGGCTTACGGCATCGACGTGTAGCAGTTGAAAACCAAATAACTACTAATAAGAAACCAAACGCAATGCTCAAATCTCAATGCATTTCGCCTACTATTTTCCCTCCTTCTCCCTTCTCTCCAACACGTTACCCACCAAATCACACATTTTCCCCTTTTCAATTTCATTATGTTTCAACCTAACCCTGACCTAACTATTTTCAACTAAACTTTTTTTTTTCTCACCCTTAATCACATTCAATAAATCTTTTTTATTTTTCTATTATTATCTTTTAATTCTTTGCTAACAATTACAATAGATAAAACATTACTTCTTGTCATTCATAAGGTCTACAAAATGTTTAAATTGTATACATAGATAATATATGTTTAGTTTTTTAAACATTTAATACTTTACACAGTTTGTTCTAAAATATGCTAATGCAATTGTGAATTTGGGACACGTGGCTTATTTTCAACTAATACGAATTTGGGACCATCTTAACCAAAAAAATCAATAATTCAATCTTAGAAGTCCCTCAAATGATTTGATGATTACACAAATAAGATTATTATTTGCATTATTGCTTAGTGACATGCCACTGTCAACTTCGTCTATTTGGATTTGTAGGTTGTAATTTCTTTTTGACAGCATTTGAAGCTTCTAATTAAGACAGTAAACCAATTAAATTTTTGAGAAAATAAACTCACCCATTGTGAGCTAAACTTTTTTCAATACTTTTCGAAATTGTAGTTATTTAAACATACAACTCCGAATAAATAACTATTTAACAACTGATGACTTCTACAAAAAAATTTTGTTGCTTTTACATCAAAATTGATTTTATTTCAAAAAAATAAGAAAAACTTAATTAAAGTTTCCATCGTGTAAAATATTCTATACGTTATTGTGATAGAAATTTCTGGAGTCTATAATAATTACCTAGTATAGATTATATTATTGAATAGTTTGTATGAATATCTAAGCATTATTATAGCTACTACAACAAGTAAACAAATATTACAATATATATAGTGACATTTATGATACCCAAAATATTAGTTACAAAATTATGTTGGAGGAAGCTATGCTCCTTTTGCAAGCAAGCTTGGATTTGCCAAAATTCACCTTGAATCTAAAAGATTCTATAGAGAACTTCTCTAGAGTGGAAGATACCACCAAAAATAGATGTACCTTTGCTTTGTTATTATAGCATTTTCTTATGTAAGACATGAAAAATATCTTTAGGAGTAAATCTAATGAAATTGGCCATTCCTATAATGAATGTTAGGTTTTTATCAAGTATATCACAATAGTGTTAAGATTAATGTTATATTATATAAGGTAATCCGCATAGACTTTGTGGTCTGCTTTTGAAATTATATATCTCTAATATTATTTGAAAACATAAGCATACTAATTATAAAAGTTTTTAACAACGTATACTATTAAATTTTTACAAAATATTTTCTTTGAGAATAAAGTATCTATCATCAAT